GTGACCTATATGGTTTTACAAGGTTTGGATTTGAGGACTCAATTTTATCTACTTGCATTTGATGATACTCATGCTTGTGTGGGTAGCATATCTTATGTTAGTAGTGGTATCAATAGAGCAAATGAGAGTCTCCTTGACTCGATGCTTTGCAATCCTTTTTCATTTGACCCTGGTGTCAATTTTAAATGTGCTGAGTGTGGTAGTAACACCATCTTGCATTTGCATGATTCTTCCATGATGTTATTACTTGATCCATTGTGCTTGAATGAGGTATGTTTACCAATTTGGGTGGGGAATACTTATGTACTTAAACCTGCTCATGAATTGGGAATATTCACTCTCTTGAAGCTATCTAGTGCATTGGATGTGGTCTTAATTTAGGTCAACACTACTTGTGCCTTCGCACTTAGGTATGAGAGTGTTCTTGTGCTACTTGACATAAGGGAGGCCTTGTGCTTGTTTGAATGTGGAACCAATGAGGGCTTACCTATTAAGTCATTTAAGTGTATTGGTTCCTTCGCTCTACCCCTTTGTCATTGTTTCTTACTTAGCCAAGTATCTTTTGCTTTGATGGGTTACAAACCCTTGGTTGATGTTTGTGATGCTTGGTTATATGTTGAGTTTGTGCATCCTTGGCATGATGACAAATTTGTTATTACTAACGCTAACCCTCATGCCATGAGGATCTTGTTCTTGTCTGCTTCCCCCATGGTTTTGCAAGGTATGGATTTGAGGACGAATCCTTTTCAACAAAGGGAGAATGATGTAAAATGGATTGCCTGGAGGCCTTTAATTTATTGCCAAGCTTGGGAACTCCAATGTGTGGATTTGTTCACAAGGATGTTCGTGGGCTTGTAATGGTGGCAAACAAAGGTTCACCTACGTGGAAGATCGCTTGGGGAAGTGAACGAAAGAGAAATTGGCCAACACTGGAACTTTGGTGAGCAAGAGACCCTTTGGCGAGTCGCCCAATGCCTTGGGCGATGACTCCCAGACCGCCCAAAGTTGCAGGCTGTTGGCAAGAGCAGGGCCCATCGCCAAATGGACAGGGGACCCATCGACGCATCGCCCAATGCTTCTCCCAGACCACCAAAGTTACAGGCTGTTGGCAAGAGCATGATCCATCGTTGAATGGACATAGGACCCATCAACGCATCGTCCAATGCTCCTCCCAAACCGCCCAAAGTTCCAGAAGAGGCTGGAAGGAGGAATCACACAGGATCCCTCACCGAACCTATTGGGGGAATTGCCAAGAGGGATAGGCGAGCCCGACTTAGCTCACCCATTGGCCATTTCGGGTCACTTTTGGGCCCATCTATGTAATAATGCCTCAAACTATAAATAGGCCTTTAGGGGTTCATTTTATGGTAGATTATTTTGATGTTAAAAACTGAAAACTCATGTTTGAGTGTTGAGAGCTTGGTTAAGCTGGTGTTGCCTTTTGTTAGAAACGTTGGTTGCTTGGGATATCGATTCCCTTGAGGTCATCGTAAGAGTTAGGTGCTGATTGTAGGATCAACAAATTGAGGTAATTGGGTTTAATATACCCTTTGGTTTCTTTTTGTTTCATCTTTTTGTGTCTAACTATTTATCTTTATTTTTCGTCTTTGATTTCCGCATTAGATTGTAGTTCTTTTTGTGAGAATTACATCACTAAACCCCAAACCCTAAACCCTAAACCCTAACCCTAAACCTTAAACCCAAAACCCTAAACCCTAACCCTAAACCATTATTCCTAAACCCTAAACCTAAACCCTAATCCCTAAACCCTAAACCCTAAACCCTAAATTCTAAACAATAAACCCCAAACACTAAAACCCTAAACCCTAAACCCTTACCCTAAACAAAAAACCCAAAACCCTAAACCCGAAACCCTAGACCCTAAACCCTAAACCCTAGACCCTACACACCCTACACCCTAAACCCTAAACCCTATCCCTAAACCATTAATGCTAAACCTTAATCCTAAACACTAAACCCTAAACCCTAAACCTCAAATCCTAAACTCTAAATCCTAAACCCTAAACCCTAAACTCCAAACCCTAAACCATAATTCTAAAACTCTAAACCCTAAACCCTAAACCCTAAACCCTAAACCCTAAACCCTAAACCTCAAACCTTGAACCCTAAACCCTAAATGCTAAACCCTAAACCCTAAACCCTACACACTAAATAAAAACTCTAAACCCTAAACCCTACACTCTAAATACTAAACACTAAACCCTTCACCCTAAACCCTAAACCTTAAACCCTAAACCCTAAACTCAAAACCCTAAACCTAAACCCTAAACCCTAAACCCTAAATCCAAACTCTAACCCCTAATGATACTATTCTCACAAGAGAAACGACAATAATATGCGGAAATCGGAAGACAATAAAGTAAAGATAGATAGATAGACACACAAGAGGAAACAAAAGACAACCAAAGGGTATATATTAAACCCAATGACCTCGATTCGTTGATCCAACTATAGCACCTAACTATTACGATAACCTCAAGGGAATCGATCTCCCAAGCAACTAACGTTTTAACAAAGTTCAACAAAAGCTTAACCAAGCTCTCAACACTCAAACATGATTTTTCAGTTTTCAACATTCAAAATAATCTAAGTCTAAAATGTACCCAAACTAGCTATTTATAGTTTGATGATAAAAGGGCCCAAAAGTGACCCGAAGTGTCACACCTCAAATCCAATTAAGATGGACAGGCACTCGATACCCTAAAGGCCCGAGAGAACCAACATGTAACCCGTGCTTACTATGCATGTAACTATGACAATCTTGTGACAAGTTCACATAGGATGCAACGATACGAACTGACATAAGTAGACCAAAAACTTATATACAAGACTTGGCCGTTGAGACCACAACTTGTTGAGACGCAACTGAACCATATACATAAGTCTACAAAGCCTCTAAAAGATAGAAATCCTTAGAGTAGGTCGGGACAGACCCCGCCTTACCCTTAACTATGATACAATACCAAAATAAATCTACCAAGGACTCAGTAAAGCTTCGAAGCAACCTGGAGCTCACCAAAAGTAGCTGAGGGTCGTATGCTCCTATTGAGGAGGTCTACTAGCTGGAGTACCTGTGCCTGCAACATGAAATGCAGCATCCCCCGCGAGGGACGTTAGTACGAAAAAATGTACTGAATATTTAACGTAATAACATATATAAACTAAGAGTTCAAATGAAACCAAGTATCAATATATGTGTGCATAAATCAGAACCGAAGACCACCTCTGTTAACTCCTGTGGGATCATGTATGTTACATTCTTGCTTTTACCTTTATATGTGTTAGGATCTTTATAAGGCATGTGATACGAATGACCAGCTGATCAGTGGTAGAAGAGGATAACCTATGCTAGACATTTTAACCCTTGGGATGCGGTCCTCATAATTACACAAATTGGGATCGGCCCATGCTAGGCTTTCGCCCCTGAGCTGCCACCCTTAATTATACA